GGAGTATCTGATAGATACCCAAGAATTGCCTTGATACTGGTGGGGAGGAAAGGAATTCAACTGTTCCCAGATGTGCTCGTGGCTTCTGTCTACTTCAGAGCTTTGAGCAAACATGATCAGTGGGTTTCTGCCTGCCCAGGATAAAATGGGATACCAAGGACCCCTGCCACTGGTCAAGCTTCAGCTCTCCTAGTCTGCCATGGACAGTCTTTCTAATAGACTTGCTGTCCTAGTACATGGCAGGATTTAGGGTTTGGTGTGGATGTGAAACAAGCTTGTTTACTGCTTAGCTGGCATGCTATAGCAGGCCTGGAAAACAAAGCCCCAGCAGTGGGTAGCTCTGAACGGTGTCTAATACCAGCTTACTGGTTAGCTTGTAGGCTGAGCCTGCAGCACAGAAGATAAGGGTCAGCTCCCTCCTCATCATGAAGAAGATACTTGCTGCATGGCTTGAAACTTTTCAGGGTCTTGAGCTCTGCTCTTCAGTAGAAAATTGACAGGCACTGCACTCGGGTGGCTAAGGGTGTCTTTGGCCCTTTCCCTAAACAAGGAAGAGCTGCTGCTCTGCAGCATTGCAGCTCATATTCTCTTTCAGGAAGTAGAGGACTTTTTTGAGCAAGAGAAGACTTTTCTTGTAAACTACTACAACAGAATCAAGGATGCATGTGCAAAAGCAGATAAGATGACAAGATCTCATAAAAGTGAATGTTTTCAAAGGCTTTTCTAAAGACCTACAGTCTTGCTGACTTTGGTGTTTTCTATAGCCTGAAAATTTTGTCTTGTTCTTGCAGATGTTGCAGATGACTATATTTATACTTCAGCTTGTTTGAACAGTCTGGCATTAGAAGAGCCTACAGTTATCAAAAGGTAAGCAGTTCTACTTACTGTTCATGCCATACACAGACTTAGGATATGCTTCAGTTCTTTCTATAAACTTCAGGGAATTGAGTTGGAGCTGGTTTGAATTTCCTTAATTGGAGGCAAGTGGTATTGAAATGTCTTCCTCTGATGCTGCTGGTGTGGCAGGCCTAATAATACCCAGAAATAGTTCAAACTAATTGATCTCTTGCCAGTTGTGCCCTAGAACTCCTGAGCTGCCCTAAATTGCTTATCAAAGTTCCTTCTAAATGGAACTCTATCCCTCCCCAAACTTCATTCAAGTCAAATTCTTGGTGAATATCAGAGAAAGGGGTTAACCATTTGTTCTAATGTGCTGCTAAATAAGTCTGTGCAGCTTACTTGAGTTTGGGCCTCTAGACTAGTGTGGCTTTTATTTTTAACCTATGGAAATGTATTCACCTGTTCAGAGGTGAGTTCTTCTGCCTCTAAATCTTGCTGCCAAGTTGGTGAGGCCCTGTGTAGACAAGGCTTACAGTCAAATTAATGGTCTCCTGTTCTTGGAGGGGAGTAGTCATGGGAGAGTTGTTGCAAGAACATCGTGTTCTAGAGACTGGAAGACTTGACTTTAAATGATGTCTAGCTGCTCAACAGGGCTAGTCTGTTGGCCTGGAATCCAGCAACTCTTGTACTAGATCTCTGCCTAGACCCAAGTTTTTTTGGAAGTCCTTGTCTGGATCATATGCAGGAACTAATTCCAGCCCTCAGGTTTTTGGCTTCCTGATAGCTGAACTTGGGGTTCATTACACTGGGGAGATACCTAAAATCTGTGTGCTTTTTCTAGGTACTTGTTGAAAGTTGCTGAGCTCTTTGAGAAACTCAGGGTAAGGATAAAATTAACCCCCTTGCCATTAACCCCCCTCCCCAAAATCTGGATCTCACTGTCTCCTCTATATATTATCTACTATCTAATCTCTCCTGCAGAAAGTAGAGAGTAGAGTTTCTTCTGATGAAGACTTGAAGCTTTCTGAACTGTTGAGATACTACATGCTCAATATAGAAGCAGCTAAGGTGAGAATTGTCTTCCTTTTTGTTGTTTTATTGTGGGCATCATGGCTTGCTACAGCAGCCTTTTATGTGCCTTAAGATAAGGGGAGCCCTTTCAAAAAAAAAAATAGTGCTTATGAATATTCTGTTTCATGGTAGAATATGGAAAAGTACATATTGGCTAGCTGCAATTCAGTTCCCATAGCTTTTTTTTAAAAAAGCTATTTTCTTCCTGTGCAGTTGATATCTGGCACATGGAGGGCAGGGGAAGTGTTATTAAATTGTTTGAAGTAAGTTAACAGCCACCTGAGTTTGAGGCTTCCAGTGGTCCTATCCCTTACCTGCCTGAGTACTCATGGTTCCTAGTAAAGCTACTGGTGACTAACTGAAAACCTGAAGGAAACCCAAGCTGTTATGTCCTTTACTTAGAAAGGTGGTTATTTCCCGCAAGGACTTGATACTTAATGTGACTACAAAAAACTTCCTGGCAGCTTTCTTCCTCTGAGCAACACCTGACTTGGCAGAGGGGTGGCCGAGAAATGCTCAGTATAATCTGATAGTCTTTTTATCCAGAGTAGTCCTCAGATCATGGTCTGGGGTATGCAACATCAGAGGCAGTTTGTTGTATTGCCACTTAGTTACCGAGGCCAGGCCACCTCCAGGTTGGAGAGGCATCAGCGCTGAGCTCTGAACTGCTTCTCATGTCAATGTTAGCGCAATGTTTCAGTCCAACTGCCAGATCTTCAAGGTGTAGCAATGGCCCCCTTGCTCAAAGCAGACTCGGGGAATTCAGAAAACTCTGTTTTCCCTTAGTGGAGAGATTCTCCTTATAGAAGAAGAATGTTTAATGGGGAAGAAGTGATGCCCACAATAGACTGTGTATTTTCTTAACTGAAGTATAAACAACCACCATATCACACTTCATACTGCACTGGCAAAGGCTGCTGTTGACACACTAGTAGTGTGACAAGTTACAGTTTGTTGGAAGAAGTGCCATCTGGTGCTGCAAAAAGCAACACTGACTCTGACTAGGGGAGATGAAACCTCAGTTTGGAAGCTGTCTTCCTACAGGCTGTGTAATGCTTTATTCCTGTCTGCTTTCAGGATCTTTTGTACAGGCGTACGAGGGCTCTTGTTGATTATGAGAACTCGAACAAAGCTCTAGACAAAGCTAGACTAAAGAGCAAGGATGTCAGGCTCGCTGAGGTACATCAACAGGATTGTTGCCAGAAGTTTGAAAAGATTTCAGAATCTGCAAAACAAGGTAAAGCAAACTTAGGCAGATCTTGATCTTGCCATGTGCTATGTCCACTTTCTGACTGGAAACAGTAAGACCAGCTCCTGAACCTCTTTGGTCAAATGCTGTAACTACAGAACTGCACAAGAAAACTCGTGAAATGCAAGGGCAGAGCCAAAGCTTCAATCACTACCTTGTATATCTGTCTTGTCTTAGCTTGTTCTTTCTTCCCTCCAGAGCTGATGAGCTTCAAACAGAAGAGAATAGCAGCTTTCCGCAAAAACCTAATTGAAATGGCAGAACTGGAAATAAAACATGCAAAGGTGAGCACGTTTTAGTCATGCATAGCATGACTTGGAGCGGGGGGACGGGAATGAGTAATATGTAACTTAAGACTTGGGTTTTCCCTTCATTTCCTAGCTGTGAAATAGAGCAGCCAGGCTTGCTAGCTGAGACAAAAAGGTGAAGGAAAAAGTGAAAAGCTGTAGATGCAGCATGCACAAAAAAGTGCTGACAGTCTCACCTCTCTTGTACAGAAAGTTGTCTTCAACCTGTCATTTTTAGGACACCAGGCTATTGCCCACAAATTCCTTGATTGGTCTCCTCTTTTTATATCTCATTTGGTTTCCTGTTGTGCAACCCCAATTGTGGCACATGACTTCTGAGTGGAGGAACTACTGCCTCAAGCATTCCCCAGAATGCTGCTCCCTTGCAGCTTTAGCCATCCACTTTTCTTGCCTGGTTTATCAGTGTGTGGTGTCCTTGAGCAGCTGGAGGAGAAGCCTCATGACAGGCCTCCCGATTGCTTCCAAATGGACCAGGCTGGGAAACAGGAGCTCACACTTGTGCTACTTGCATTAGATGCAGTCAGCTGTAATGCAGGGACTGGCAGCTCGCAGGTGCGTGTTGGAGATTCGTGTTGTGCTGCCTCCTTGCAGAAGGAAAGACTAGTTTTCCCTGCTAGGAGCTATGGTCTCCCAGGACTTTATAATTATAGGTAGCTACTTCAGTCCTAGGCTTGAATGTGGCATACAAATGACTTGGCAATGCTACTTGGTTTATGGCTCATGTAAAAATAAATAATACTCTTCCTTTCCACAGTTGCAGTTAGGCTGCAAAATCCTGGGATAGGCCAACTGCTTTGATATCTTGTTCCTTTTATGGAAGGCAGTGTTTAGATCATCAGTCATACTCGTCTGAAACTAATTCTCTTCCTTTCCAGAACAATGTTTCTCTCCTGCAAAGCTGCATTGACTTGTTCAAGAACTAAGGCACCTTATTCTGAGAATGTGAAGAAAAAAAAAAAGCATCAGTTGCACTCAATGGCCAGGGGAAACTTATTGGCTTGACTTCATTAGCTTAAAAATAAATATTGTCACTGAGATTGTTTGACTAATCCTTAACCACACTGATAGTGATATTTTGACTTGGTGTAAATGAGCTGAATTGCATATGAATTGTCTGGATGTAGCTAACATCCTGTTTGGCTGATAACTCAAACTGAGTCCAATGTAAGAAATCACTTTGCTGTTGACTGACCCTTCATCTAGTAGAAGGTTTCTCTGAGAACTCCCCTTTTGAAGGGTCACAGAGCAATCTGTCTCTTCACAGCCCTGATCAAGTTGAAACTTGCAAGTGGGAATGGCTTGTATAAATCTAGTAATTTTATAAAGTAAAATACCTTAACATTCCACTTCAGACAGATTTCTACTACCATATATTTTCAATTTCTATAAGTACATTTGCTATTTGTACACTTGGGCAATACGGTAAATAAAGATGTCTGATACTACATGCTCTGGCTCTATCACAAGACTTTGTGTGGGATGTAAGGTAACGAACTGAGGTTTCAGACACAGGATTAGTATCACAAATTACTCATCACCTGGGGCTCTTCACTGTGAGCATGAAGTATGTCTTACTCAATAGGCTGCTCTTTGAATGGGGGTTAATACGAGCATGTGTTTTCCCCATATTTAATGCTGCTGTTCCTGAGCAACTGTTATAAGCTGCTATTATAGCACAGTTCTCACCAGCCAAACCAAAGTTTTCTGAAACGTTAAATTGAGATGGCTGAAGGGGTTAGGTTCTTCAGTCTTTCAGACTGGTTTATGATGCTTCATTTCTGTCAATTTTGACACCTCCTGCTAGCAACCTGTGACTGTCTGAACTTGAAGTTTAAAGCACAGCGCTTGCCTGTCTGCCATTTAAGATGAACTTTAAAGGTAGTGAGGCCAGGTACTGTGGTTCAGGCAACTGCTTCAACTCCACTATCATCTGCACATTCTGGGTCGTTTCTGGCATCAGATGTCTCAGCAGCAGCCTTAGTTTCAGAACAAGGCTGTGTAGCAACATGAGAAGTAGCATTTTGAATCTTAACAAGCACTCTAGGCTGTTTGTGGCTTCCTGGGCTATGGTACCTACATGGTTGAAGCAAGAAACCTCTCTATTTTCTTGGAACTCTAGAGTGGTTTGCACTCTAAATTGTTGATATAGGCTGGCTTGGACTAAAACGTGAATTTGCTCAGAGTCCAAGTGTCCTCTGCGTACTTTCACTGGTTGTAACTACAGTTTTACCTTGATGTTGTAAAACTAGCTCAAAGTGACTGTGAACTTGTGCTATAAAGCAGTCCTTGCCTATAACTATTGCTTTGAGGGGAGGTGCTCTGTGTCCGCTCTGCCTGCAGAGTGCACTGTGGTCACCTTCACTAACCAACATGAGTTAGTTTGGCAAAAATGCCCATAGTGGAGCAGGACTTGTACGCAGAGACCAGTGGGTGGCAGTGTCGGAGAGCTGTTCACAGCAGAGCTGCCCTCACACTGACTTGTAATGAAATGCTGGAAAGCTGCTTCCTACACCCCTGTCTTACTTGACAGCTGAGTGTATGCTGATCTATAGGAGAAGTCTGCATAGGAGGTGTCTGCTCCCAGGGAAGGACAAATACATCCTTTTCTACCTATTGTAGTGTGACTTGGCTTCCCTTACAGATGGGTTTGGAAATAACACCTTAGCAGAGCAAAGATTAGTGATTGTTATAGAAAGTGAGGGTTTGTTTATTAATATTGCAGAGACTTGTCTTTAAAGGACTAGATGGGATGAGGGCACTTCCTTGAATGCCTCAAACAAAAATTGATTCTTCAGTCTGCAAATACTAATCAATCCCTCCCAAAAGTGGTTGGTTTTTGCAACCATGTTGCCCTGACTTACAAGCTGCAAAAAGGCTTTGGAGAACAGCCATGAGCTTCACCGTTTTGATGGTGGTGGTTGTGTGTGGCTTTCCACATCAGGTCCCCTGCTCATCATCTCTCTTCTGTCCAGCTGAATAAGGTCAGAGAAAACTAACATTTGGGCAAGTTTACACAGGCTTATTAGCTCTGCAGCTCTAGTACTGTTGACAGAGGCACTTGCTGCTGCTGCCTGGAGAGTGCAGGAGGGCTTCTTGTCCACAGACAGCACTAGCTCAGCTCTTTTTGCAGAGGAGTGAAGATGACTCTTGCAGTGTATTTGTTCTGTTGGGCCACATCTGGGCCCTTGGGTGCTGCAGGTGTGTGGTGAAGTCGAGGTGGACATCAAGACAAGAGCAGAACGGTGGATCTGGATCACAATGTGAACTCAGGAGGAGCAGCAGCAGGGTACCTGGATGCAAAAGGCTGTGGTCTTGGTATGGATATCTGCACCAGGTCAGGCTTGCTGAAACAGGAGTCTTTGGGGTGGAACGAACAGGTGGAGGTTGCACTTGGGAGTCAGTGGTATTTGGATATTGGAAAACTGTGGCTGGGAACCAGCTTTGCCCTTTGAGTGCTACCGATTCCAGGAAGAAGCATTGCTGCTGGTGAAGCAGGTAGGGAAAAGCTGCTGTGCCTTTGGGATCCACACTGCCTGGAAAAGCTGTGAGCCTGGACTCTTCATCCTAGTCACCACCAAGTCTGTGCTCTCCGGAGTGGTTCTGTGGCCATGACTGACCCGAAAACCTCTCATAAACACCCTGATCCCAAAAGAGGGAACAGATTCAGCTGCAGCGTGATTCACCTTGAAATGATGACTGAGGAAATGCTTTCATTAAAGGTTCAGCATGACTATTTTTTTTAACATGCTCCGAGTCTATTCAATTCTGATTTACTCCATCCTGTCTCTTCTCAACTACATATTTTGCTCTGATACAAGGCCTTGATCTCCAGTGGTTTTGGAGCTGTGTGCCATGTTTCTGATAGCAGCAGACATGAATTTCTCAAAACATGGGACTGGGAAGATGTTTCCCGTAGCCATCACAAGCATCTCTGGCACTTCCAGAGCCTTTTGACCCTCTCAAAAGCCTGAGAGGAAAAGCTTGGCAATGCTGCAAAGCAGCTCTGCAGAGCTCCCCATGCTTGGGGATGACTCTCAGTGCTTTTCTGGGGAGGAAAAAAAAAAATTGCTCTCTCAGAGGTTAAGAGTTATTTCAGCTTGTTTTTCCTTCAGAAAAGCACATCATGTTTGTGTCATTTCGGTGGCACGGTGCTATCTGCATTGCATTTGAAACAAATCCATTTGCAGCTCGCTGGTCACCAGGGGATAGATTCAGACCCTGGCAATCCGTTTTTAAGACTTGTTCATTGCTCGGTTCTAGTTGTAGACTGGGAACTTACTGCTCGCTAGGCCTGTGGTTCATCTGCTAATTAAATGCTGTTCAGGGGCTGAGCCCTGGTGCAGGCTTAGCCTTACCTTTTGTTTGCTTTTTATATTACAAGGCCAAGGAGAAGGCTTAGCTGAGATCAGAGTCCAGCTGGGCTGGATTTTCGTGCTTCGATGCTAAAAATAATCCCTGCTAGGGAAACTTTGCAGTGTGAACAGAAAAACAGGAGTGGTGCCCCTCTTGCAAGTGGAGGGAATTGAGATGGTGTGGAAAAGGTGACTTGGCCCATGGGGAATCTGTGTCAGAGCCAAAAGTTGAGCTGGAATCTGAAATCCTGCTCAAGGTCCCTTGCTGTTTTGGTCTGTCACCTCTGGTAGTTGTCAAATGAGTGTTTGATTTGTAGTTTTGACTGTCCCTTGGCTGCTATTTGCTGCTTTTCAGGGAGATGTAGTCACTGCTAGTGGGACTACTTCACGTCTGCTTCAACCCAGTGAAACCCATCAGTGTAAGGTGTTTTTAGAATGTCTTTTGTGGATCAGTTTCTGCTGGGAAGGCAGTGAAATCCTGGTGGTCTGAAATGCTTCTTGGCTTTACCTCTCAGCTTTACACCTGAGACTGAGTCCAAAACTGGCCCAAAGAAGCCCCCAAATACTCAGGTTTGGTCTGAGTTAGTCAGGGACTTCTGTGTTCCTGGAGCAACATGACAGGGGCTGACAAGGAGGAGAGTAGAGACCTTGCAGGGGAGGTTTAGCCTCGCTCTGCTGTGTTTAGTGCTTGTCCGGTAGGTGTTTCCCTGCTGGAGAGAGGGATAATCCTTACCTAGGTGGTCAGTGACCTCCTTGAGAAAGATCCCTTTTCTCCAGCAGCGATAGGAGTAACTCCTTTCGCATGGGCAGTGCAGCTCTGCAAACTGCCCTTTCTGGACATACGTTGCCACTCACAATCCTTTTAAAGCAGAGCGGTGTTGGGCCATGGATGTGGAAGATGTCAGCGAGCCGCAAGGCTGAGCTAAGAGGCAGTGCCACTTTAAGACGTTTTTCCCCGCTGCTGCAGAGTCTGTTGGCACGGCCGCCCTCGGTAAATGCGGCGTTGTTGCCATGGAGGACAGGAAATCCCTCAGCCGAACAGAGAAGGAAAATATTGGAATCTGTCCTACTGTAAAGCACAGCTGCCTTTGTGCCGGGAGAGGGATGCTTGTTTGCAAGGGTGTTTTTCCAAAGGTCTCATTTCTATCTGCAGATTTTTCACAGATTTTTTTCCTTTTTTTTTTTTTATTTTCTTGTGTGTTTGAAGAGTTGGACAAAGGAAGCAGGAGCAGCTGTCTGGGGCTAGTTCTAAGTGCTGTGATGAACACAAACGGGAAGAATTTTTGCTTGGGAGCAAGATACTTAGCAAACTTACAGCCTCAGTAACTCTGCAATTCCTTTTATTCCTCGTCCCCTCTCCTGTTGGCAGAGGGAAGGCATCTGCTTCTTTTCTGCCTTGCGCCTCTCAGAGGAGGAGGCATCTCCACTCTGGTGGGTCTCTTCTCTACTTGGCAAGTCTCTACAGCTCTTGGCCGATTCTCTGCCCTCCAGTGCAACCTGTTGCTCGTGCCAGGTGAGGGATTCCCCAGCAGTTGCTCTGGGGGATCTCCAGTGCTTCTTTTCTACCTCTAATCTGTTCTTAACAAATCAGTACA